CAGAATGTAGTCCAGGTCTACCTCTAGGTCATTTGTCTTGGACATTTTATCTTGTTTCTGGACATGTGCTGATATAGTCATCTGCTTTAGCTTTCTGGACATGTTTATTGTTTATCTATGGCCTTAATACATAATTGAGTATGTGGTTTGGTGTTTTTTATGCTTTCTGATTGCTTCCAGGTAGATGTGATCAGGATATGGTCTTCCGTTTTCACTCTTCTTATTACTTAACTCTCCGAGTAACTTTCACAGAACTTGTCTGCCTCCCTGGTAATGGCAGTTAATATTGGTTCTTGCCTGGGTTTTGGTGTTTTATAGGAGTGTGATTGTAACTTGACTATATGGCAGCAGTTGCTGTCTCTTCTTGGGTAATATAGGTAAAGAGTCCCTCAAATGTAGAAGGGGGAACATAAAACAGCAAAACAGCACCAGCAAGAAAAAGACAAAAAAAAAATTTAAATACCAAAAAAATCAACAACAACAACAACAACAAAAAAGACAAAACTAGACTGAATATTGCAGTCTATAAGCAGAAAAGGGAGAGGAGGGAGAGAAGGAAAATAAAAAATCTTCAGCCTAATATGAGTATGACTTTAATGTCCTTTCTTCAGCTTCTTGCCTTCAAAGCTGCCTGAGAAATTTCAAGATGCCACTGTTGGTTGTTTTGCTGTACCTCAGGATTTAATTTAATTTTGTAAGTGTAAAATAAATAAATTTGCTAGTGTTTACTGCAGTTACTCTTCATCTTTACTTCTCCTCTCAGAAGTAAAGAGTAAAACATGCAGAGAAAAAATAAGAAGCCAGCTCAAATAGAAGAGATTTTCAATCACTAGATCCAAGGAAATGCTGGGGAATAAACAATTCGAAAGGTGTGAATTAGACTAATTATATTTACAGAACTGGTATGTGACTATTAGTGGAGTGTATACTTAGGATGTCTAGAAATAATTGACTTATTTACTCTTGCTTCTTCTTTGCACTTGACTTAATTAAATGGTTTTTTTCAAACATTGCTGTTAATGGCAGTTGTCTTTGGGGGACAACTTTTAACTTTTTGAAGGTGATGCAAGAAGAAATTTGAAAGCTGTGTTTTCCTAAATGTTCACCTGAGAAGCTTATCAAGTTGGCTTCTGTCAGTGGCATGCTAAGAGACCTATACTAACTTAGGAGAGCTGATGATTCAGTTTTCATGGATTTTGCAAGCTCATAACTAAATTTGGCCTGATTACATTAATAACTTTCAGTTAAACACACTACACTAAAAATAAAGGTAGTAAATACTCAAAAGTCATCAATTCCTTATTAATTTACTAAATGTTACTAATATTTATGCATTTCAGTTATTTACTTCTATTGTGCTATGACATGTCTCTTTCCAAGCTCCATGTTTAGTGATGTCATGTTGATAACTTGAATTTGACCATAATGAGCTTATTTACCATGGAAACTATTTTGGGGGTTCCCACTGACCAGCCTCGAGCACAGAAAGTCACTGCTCATATCTCTGCACTAAACTTTGCAAAACATATCCACAAATTTTCTTTAAACTCCCATAAGAGGGCTTCTCCACTTCCAGACTTTCCATCTTTTTCTATATCTCAGTAACTAATTGGACACATTTGAGTTGACATAAAGGCTCTTTTTAGCTATGATTTACCAGAGGTAATTGTGACCTGTTTGGGAACGGTTAGGATGTTGGTACAAATGAATCACATGATTTCGGCAGCTTGTACTTATTACTGTATCACATTTTAAAACTAAATTGTGTGTTTACTTTTTAGACCCTGTGCTATGGTGACTCCAGACATTGAGCTAATCTGTGAAATCATGTTAGTTGCTGAAGGTTTTGTGGACGCGCGCTCATTAGCCCGAAAGTATATTACGTTGTACAGGCTCTGCAGGGAACTCCTTTCCAAGCAGGTGAGGAGGAGCCTTTTGCTATCTTTTTCTTGATTTTTACTTTATGTTAAAACAACTTTTGAAGTGTGGATGCTGAGTAAATTATCATTCTAATTGCAGTTACACATTTTCCTTAAAATGTTAAAAACCTGTTTCTTATTATTTGTGAAATTATATTAGAGAAATTAAATTGGAAGCCTTTTGTTTGTAATGTTTTATTTGTATTTAACACTTTTTATCAATGGGCTATGTGAATGTCCTTAAACTTCATCAGTGTTATATTTATAAGTGTAATTTTGTGGTACCTTCCCTTTTGTTTTTAAACTTTTTCTTACGAATTAAGTGAAGGTTTATGCAGAAGATCATCAGTTTTCCATTCAGCAAATCATATACTTTGTTTCACCTTACTTATTACAATATCCTCCATGCAACAACAGTTATCCCATTTCCTGCCTGTGGTTCCTGCTTCCATTCTACTCCCTTTCCCATCCCTTCTCAACTTTGTCCCTAGGTAAATGCTATTCCTTTGATTTGGACTGATTCACCATTCCATGGTGAGCATACCTTACTAGTGTTGTTGTCCCCTATATACCTATACTGCCTGGCTGAAAATTGGGCCATGAGGGTGGTTTCCATTGTAAACCTGAAGGGTGGTCAAGGGCCATAGTCTCAGATTATGTTCCAGGGTTGTGTATAGGTGCTGTCTTTTCTTAATGGGGATATTATTTTGTAGTAAGACAGGGAAAGAGTGTTCCTAAGAGGGGAAGCAGAGTTAATTTTCTGAAGAACACCTCAAGAAATGCTAAATGAAAACCTTCTCATCTGTTGGTAATCCTTGATTTGAAAGCAGGGTTGGCATTTTCCCCCTTCCTTTTGCTCTACAATTTCCTAGTTCCTGAAATGGGTCAAGCCAACACACTTGCTCTCTAGCCTCTAATCATGAACTTATGGAAGGGTCAGTGAAGTTGCTGTTCAGCCAAAAAAAATGCATAAAAATCACATCAGTATTTTAAATTCAGTTTGTGGTCACCTTTGACATTGGGTCTTTTAGTGACCATTCTTTATTTCCTGGTAACATTATTCTGCAACTGTCCCATAAGGAAAATATTAAGACAATACAACTAGAACCCCCTAGCTTACTGTGTTGTCATATGTATCCATTTTAACTTACTAATTTTTGGGGTGAGATGTGAAATCTGAGCGACAAATCCATGTTGACCTTTGAATAAGTACAAATTGACATTTGGGGGTAAATTATGCTAAATTTAATATTGTGGTGAAACATTGATGGCAGTGTTATATACAAAAGGTAGATGTGATCTGAAATTGCACATTTTATATTATACATGATATATTTTGTATACATAGAAAATGACTGGAGTCCTGGTGTGGCACTGTAAGTTAAGCTCTGAACTGCTAACCGAAAGGGTGGCAGTTCAAACCCACCAGTTGGTCCTCAGAAACTATATGTAGGGTTACTATGAATCAGAACCAACTCAATGGCACTTAACAATGACGACAACAACATAAAATGATTAGAAAATATATTGTAGTTTTTCACAGTTGTCTTTGAGTAGTAAAATTATAGGTACTTTTATTTTCCTCTTCATTCTAGTTTATATTCTCTATTTAAAATAGTAATGAGTCTATTTTAATTTTATAATGGAAAAAGTCAGAAGAACAATATGACATTGAACCCAGGGAACATGTAATTGCAACTACATCTATTCAGTTATGTTTAATCGTTTAGTGAGCATCTACTAAAATCAAGTAATGTGTTTATTGCTGACAATGAAAGGGGTAAGAAACAAAGCAAACATAACAAGCAGCCAGATTTCTGACTTCAGATAACTTGCTTTACATGAAATAAAAATGGAAAGAGAGTAGAGGAGGAAAAGATTGTTGGAATTCCAAGGAAAAAAGGAACTGATATTTATGGAGCAGGTGGTGTGGTGGTCGTTATGTGCCGGAACCGACTCAAAGCGACCCTGTACAGGGTTTCCGGGGCTGTAAATCTTTACGGGAGCAGAAAGCCTCATCTTTCTCCCATGGAACAGCCGGTAGTTTCAAACTTCTGACCTTATGGTTCGCAGCCTGATTCGTAACCACTATGCTACCATGTATTATTTTTCTAAGTCTTTACAAGCTTATGAGTTGGGTGTCATTAGCCCCATTTTGCAAATGATGAAACTAAGTGAAGTAACCTGCCCAAAATCTACAGCTAGCCAATGGTAGAGACAAGATTTAAATTCAGGTCTTTCTAATCCTTTCAAGGCACTTGTAGCCAGCCTCAAGTGCAAGTTGCTAGGAAGATAGGGAAAACAGAAAAAGAGTTCTCCATTACTTGAATAAGATGAGGACGAAGAGAGCTGGCCAGCATAGCAGAGCTAAATTAAGACAAAGTTCACTAGCATGTTTCCTAAGCTACAGGATGATTGAGAAGAATCCTTGGAAATTTCCCTTTAAAAAAAATTATTGTGATAAAATATGTGTAAAAAGAAGTTTGCCATTTTAACCAACTTTTAGGTGTACAAGTCAGTGACATTACTTATTACATCCCCAAAGTTGGGTCACTATTACAGTTATTTCTAAAGATTTTCATCATGCTAAACAGCGGATTAGAACCTTTTCAATAGTAACTCCTATGCTTCCCTTCTTTCAGTCCCTAGTAACCATTAATAAACTTAGGTCATCTGCTAAATCTAGATATTTCTTCAAAGTGGGATCATACAATATTTGCTCTTTTTGTGTCTAACTCAGTGTTTTCAAGGTAATTGATGTTGTGGCCTATAACCAAATTTCATTCCTTTTGTGGCTGAATAATATCTATTGTATGGATTTTGTTGATCCATTTATCTTTTGATAGACACTTGGGTTGTGTCCACCTTTGGGCTATTGTGAATAATAACTGCAGTGAACGTTGGTGTATATGTGTGTCTATTTGAGACTCTGCTTTCAAGCCTCTTGGATTAATATCCTGAATGTTTTTGGCCAAAGGAATGATAAAAATGGTTATTTTAGCTTTTTTTTTTTCTCTTTTGGCAATGTTTAAATGTTTGGGAAGGTCCCTACATCTTCTTAAATTGTGTTAAGAATTTTTCTTGCATCCTCTCCATCTGTACTCTTATTGCCATGATTTGACCCCCTTTAATCTCCTTTCCCCTCTAAACTTTGATCTTCTCCATTCTGCTTCCTTCTGAAAGTCTAAATCTAATTATTTTGATCATGGGCCACATTTAAAAATATTTTTTTTCTATGGAAACTCAGCATGCATGCCCATGCACATATACATAATAGAAACAAAATGTTTTAACCAAACACTTTATTTGCAATACACTGTGGTAAATTTCCTGACATTCTGGTCTATTTTATTATCCAAAAATGGTGGTCAAGACTCACTAAATGAATTTCATTATCCAGTACTAGACTAAAGGATATATGTATATATGGTATTTTCAATAACCTCATATGCATGCGAAAGCTGGACAGTGAATAAAGAAGACGATAGAAAAATTGATGCATTTGAGTTATGGTGTTGAAGGAGAATGTTGAGAGTTCTATGGGCTGCCAAAAGAACAAACAGATCTGTGTTGGAAGAAGTGCAGACAAGAGTATTCCTTGGAGGCCAAGATGGCCAAACTTCCTCTTTCATACTTCTAACATATTGTCAGGAGGGACCAGTTGCTGGAGAAGGATATCATGTTTGGTAAGGTGGAGGGTCAGAGAAAAAAAGGAAGACCCCCAGCGAGATGCATTGGCAAAGTGGCTGCATCAGTGAGCTTAAGCATGGCAACAATTATAAGGTTGGCCCAGGACCAGGCAGTGTTTTTTTCTGTTGTGCATAAGGTCGCTATGAGTTGGTACCGACAACAACAATACATTGATTCACTTCCCACAAAACATTTTTACTCACATTAATTCATTTTACTCTTACCACAACCTTGTGCAGTAGACCTGTTTAACATTTGTCTGCCAGTTTGATGACACTGAGCTTGTAAGATTGACTTTCCCACAAGCACAGTTGTGGGACATTTCAGAGATGGGCTGTCCCTCGGTGTATTGTAGCTGGGACCCAAAGTATTCTACAGAGAAATTGAATCAATAGGAGAAAATTGTGTGTGTGTGTCTGTGTGTGTGTGTGTGTGAACAAATTGGCCACAAAGTTGTAGAGACTGGCAAGTCTAAGATCTTAACATCAATCTCACAATTTGGAAATTCAGGGAGGATCTCTCTCAGAAGCCTGTTTTTGCTGGGAAGACCTTCATCTGATTGGATGAGTCCCACCCACATTATCAAGAATAATTTCTGTTACTTACAGGTAACTTGTAAATGTTAACCACATCTATGAAATACCTTCATGGCAACATTTAGATGGAGTTTTGGCCAAGCAACTGGGTCCCATAACCTAGCCAAGTTGGCACATAAAATGGTCATAACCAGTCACATCTAATCAGTGAGTTAATTCAGCAGACCTTTACTGAGCACCCAGTCTGTTCTAACCCTAGAAAACAGTAGTGGATAAGATGTGAGAATCGACCCTCAGGAGGTCAGAGCCTGAGAGAGAAATCCATATTAGGGATACAATGGAGATACTGGTTTATAATTGAATTTTCATACAGATTTTACTATAGTAAGTGTCAGCATCAAGGCAGGGGCACCAAAATGATTAAAAGAGTAATTAGGGCAATCAAATATGAAGTTGGTAAAGTCAGGTGGTCACTGGACAATTAGAGAAATGCGCTTATGGTTGAAAGAGGTGGAAATACGTGAGTTAGAAGGTTGATTGAGAAAAGAGCAAGGGAGACGGTGCATTGGGCAAATACTGCAATTAAATGTTATAGAAAGAAGAGATTTACTGACCCAGGCAGAGAAGTAGGCACAAGAAACAGAAGGATGCTGCAAAGGCCTGGTTTTCAGAATTCCAATCTTAAAACAGATGGAAATACTGTTTTAAGAAAACTTTAACGTATGTGCTTGTCTGCACTGTTTTGCACTTTGGGCTTTTACTTGTATAGTGGTAATCTTATTCTCTTACAAAATTTTGAGGAAGTGTACCTATGTTTTGATTTCAGGATCATTATGATTGGGGACTTCGTGCTATTAAGTCTGTCTTGGTTGTAGCTGGCTCCCTGAGACGAGGAGATAAAAATAGGCCTGAAGATCAGGTACTTCTGTGCTAATATGATTTTGTTGTATGAGGCACTAAATGGTTCCATATAAGTGGAAGTATATACCTGGAGGGTGTATTATGCATAGAATGGTTCTAAAAAATGTAGCATCTGTTTTTAACGTAGTGTATTTTGAGGACTGGCATTTCTTATGTTATAAAAGGCCACAAGTGTTCTTGAGTACAAGGATATGAATATAGGAAATAAAATGTGATTTTGTAAGTGCTTATGAAATTCAACCACAAAAAGTATTTTAAAGGTCATAATCAAGTATACTGTTTTGCATCTAGTGAACCCACGGAAACAGCAAGTACATGCAAATAATACTCATAGCATGAATAGGAAGCTAATGCACGAGGGGTTTGCACAGTTTGCAAAAACTGTATAACTCACGTGTTATTTGTATAAAAATATGGTAATTCCACAATAACAGCTTGATTTCCTGTGAGGAACGTTTAAAAAATACAATAGAGGAAATACGATGGAGTTGGAATGTTAAACTTGAAAAAGTCAGTAGAATGGGTAAAGTATGTACATTTCATAGGTTGTAGGATTAGACATGAAGAATGGAAGAGAAACGATGATTGCCAACATGCTGGTCACCCAAAGCTTCTAAGAAAATGTTTACTATCCTTTCTGAGTAGAAAAAAATACCATCTGCCTCATGCACTTGTCCTTAGTAAGTTGTGAGATAAATGGTTATAGACTACTGTATACAAGCAATATAGTTTGAGAAATAGAAAACAAAATCTATTCCTCTAAGATTTTTTTTTATGAGATTTTTTAAAATGTGATTTTCTGCTTTTCCAATATCACCCTTTTCTTCTTAGTCACAATTCATAGTTAAGGTTTTCTCTCAGTTATTGTTTTCCTTATGTTTTGTTATTGTTGTTGAAATACAACTCTTTCTGTTGAAGTCATACTGGTTTTTGAATTACCCCCGATAGATTTAAAAAATTAAAATTAAAAATATTTTGAGGTTCGAGCACAATGATCAGATGGGATTGGTTCATTTACATCCTAGAGTTCGTATATTACAGAGAGAAGAGTCTCTGACTCTTTCTCAAGATCAAAAACAGTTCATTTGGCAAGGCCTCTGCACAGATTTCATTCTGAGGTTGGTTTGTTGTATTGCATGGCGTAATAATTTGTAAGCATTGAACCTTTCTATAAATGCAGCTGAGTCCCTGGATGGTGCGCATGGATGCTGTGCTCAGCTGCTCACTGAAAGGTTGATGGTTTGAGTCCACTAAGAGGTACCTCAGACTGAGAGCGTGGGGATCTCTTTTGAAAAATCAGTCATTGGAAACCCTATGGAGCACAGTTCTACTCAGACACACATGGCTCATCATGAGTTAGAAATGACTCCGTAACAAGTGGCTTTTGTTTATTTGTTTGTTTTTAAAAATAGAACACACCCTAGTAGAGAACAGTATTAATACATATGCTTTAGAGAAGAGGGTTAAAAATAACTTCTTTGGTTAGTTGTGTGTTGGTTAGATCTTGTATTGGCTTTTTAATCATAAATTTTCGATTTTCCTTTCTAGGTTCTTATGAGAGCACTGAGAGATTTCAATATGCCTAAAATCGTGACTGATGACATCCCGGTGTTCCTGGGCCTGGTCAGTGACCTGTTTCCTGCCCTGGAAGTGCCCCGGAAGAGGATACCGCACTTTGAACAGATGGTCAGGCAGTCCACCCTGGAGCTCCGCCTGCAGCCTGAGGAGAGCTTCATCCTCAAAGTAAAAGGATCATTGTTTTCTCATGGAAGTCTTTGGGATTTTCCATGAAAATCACTGTAGTTTAGTACTACTAAACCAAAACACCAACTTATATTTGTTGTTGTTTTTATGTGTTGTTGAGTAGGCTAATACTAATCCTGAATGTATAGGGTTTCCTAGGAGTGGCTGGTGAGTTTGAAGTGCCAGCCTTGTGGTTCAGACTGAACTTGCAGCCCAGGGCTTATCCTACAGTGCCACACTAGGACTCAACTTACAACACACACTGACTTTCATTCCATTTTAACTATATACTTTGAAGACATTCTGATGTGACAGTACTTGCTAAAGTTAATAAAAGTAAATGCTTTATCGTCTCTTTCTGTGAGAAGGTAAAAACACAGATAGGATTAAACCATGGCTTTAAATGTTAAGCATACCTTTAATCACTTTAGAAAACTTACAGGTATTTGGTGACATGCACCAAAAATTTCTTTTTTTCTCTACCCTCCTGATGTGGCACTGTAGGATAAATGCTGGACTACTAACCCAAAGATTGGCAGTTCAAGCCTATCAGCTGCTCCTCGGAAACCCTATACATGGTCTCTTTGATTCGGAACCGACTTGATGGCATTTAATAACAACACCCCCCTTCATTTTAGAATAAGATGGGACTAAAATCATTAGTACATGCTTTCAGTGGGGAAGAAATGTCAACATTTATGAGAACAACTTATGAAGATATCTGACAAATCATAAGACTTACACACATGCTTTCCGCATTTGGACTTGGTGGATACATGAATATTAAACATCCACATTGGCATTCATTTGTAAACTTTCGGCAGCTGTGCCATTACTCAGTTGCAGATGATAATACTTCATCTGACCATCTGACAATCTGACTCAACACCTCATGAAGAGTAATTAGTTTTGTAACAAGCAACCCCTGCTATGAACAGAACTTCTCTGGTGCTTTAATGACTCCAGAAATAATGGTTTGACACGGTTCTTCCTCCTGTGTTCTCTGTGGAGATCCAGGACCCAACTATAGTTTCTACTTGAGGTTGGTTTTAACTTCCCCTGAATATGTCTATAGGGACTGTCTTGGGTTGGAAGGAAAGGAGAGTTGGACAACAATGAGTAGTTTTATCCTTTTACCAACAACTGATTAAAGGTGGCCAACTGTTCACCCTGCAGGTGGTCCAGCTTGAGGAACTGTTGGCTGTACGGCACTGTGTCTTTGTGGTTGGCAATGCGGGCACAGGTAAAAGTAAGGTATGAAAGAACCAATTTTCAGCCATAAAAGGACCAATTGTTTGTTGCTGTTGTTTTTTTTTCAGGGAGGGAGGTGCTGTTTTCAATGTTATTTTAAATAATTCCCCTCAGTGACATCAGCCATAATTTTCAGTACAATCTAAGCCTCTTATTTTTTTAATCAATTAACACTATTGGCACATGGTAGGGTTGCAAACAGGTAGGGTTGAGTTCACACAGGATGAGAAAGCTTAGGTGAAGATTGGGCTTTCCACATAAAGTATTTAGCAGCCTCTTTCTGTGTTTAGATTTATGCCCTCCTACGTTCTTCATCTTTCAGTTATTACATCTGAACTCTTCTATCCAAGGAAAATACCCTAAAAGACTATAGAAGAAGATATCTGACTTGCAGGAGTTTATTAGTTTTACCCAGACTACTTTTTTTTTTTTTTTCTTTCCCAAGCCATCCTAGATTCTACACCCCACATCATTAAGAAAAGCAATCCAAAATATTTCTATTCAAAACTCTTTGAATAATATAGCCCTCTGTAATGCCAAAGCAAGGAGCTCTGGTAGCATAGTGGTTATGAGTCAGGCTGTTAACCCCAAGGTTTAGCTCATTTGAAGCTACCAGCTGTTCCATGGGAGAAAGGTGAGGCTTTCTGCTCCCGTAAAGATTCACAGCCTCGGAAACACTATGCAGGGTCTCTATGAGTTTAAACCACTCCACGGCACATCACCACCACCGCCAGGGCCAAAGCAATAATTGAAGTGAAAGGGAAGCAACAAAAAATCACAGTTTTAGAGGAATCTTTCCTTGGGGGCACAGTGGGTTCAGCAATGATCTGCTAACTAAAAGGTCAGTGGTTCAAATCCACTAGCTGATCCACGTGAGAAAGATGTGTGTCCGTAAAGATTTACAGCCTCAGAAACCCTCTGGAAAAGTTCTGCTTTGTCCAGTTGGCTCGTTATGAGTCTGAATCAACTCGATGGCAATGTATTTTGTTGTTTTTAATTGTAGGTGCATTTCACATAGGATTTACTGTACACAATAATGATATGCTGCGGGTATTTTTAGTTCCCCATTTTTAGGTCACTGCTTGATTCTGTGTGGTCTTACTGGCAACATACTTACTTTTTTTGAAGACAGTATATGCAGAACTACATGTGTTTTAATTCAGGGTGTTTGGAGATAAGCATATTGAGTCGCCAATGACTAAAAATAATCAAATGAGACTTTAGAAAATGGGTGTATTTAGAACTTGCCAGTATTTAGATTGTAACCCAAAGTGGAACAGTAAAAGAAAGCTCTGTACAAGCTTTTTTCCTAGAGAAAAACATAATTGAAATATTAAAGTAGAAAATTGGAAATCCTATAATTATTTTGTTAGATTACATTTCAGTTGTTGGCCAGGGTTCAAGGAAGGATAAAATTAAATTCTGTAATTTCCAGTAGATTAATGATTTCTAAAAATATAAGTTTCATATTCCTAAGGCACTCATTTTCTTTCATCTTTGTTGTTGTTAAGTGTAGGTGAGTCAATTCCAACCCATAGTGACCCTGTATTGGGTTTCCTAGGAGCAGCTGGTAAGCTTGAACCACCGACCTAGCAGTTCAAATGGCTTTACAGTCTGGCACATTAATCCACAGGTGCCACACCAGGACTCCTTCTTTCATCTGGTCATCTAGATGATTATCCAGATAGGCACGTATATGACTAGCAGATTCATTCATCTAGTCATCTCCAATTTTGTTATCTTCAACATTTATTTAAGTGGACAGAATGAGAACATTAACGCTCAGGCCCATGCTATTTAGCAACTTACTCTTCCCCAATGTTTGGCAATTGTTGAGCCATCCCTCAGAGCCCCTATGAGTAGGTCAGGATGAGAAATATATAGAACAAAACTGTGACATTTCAGAGAATGCAAAAAGTAGGGGTTAAGACACCAATTTGAGTAAAGGCATCAATTAAGTCGCTGCACATACACTGAGTTACTACCAAGTGAGTTCTTGTCCTCCAAGTTTTTTTTTTTTGATTGTCTAGATCAGGGCTTGTTGTGGAACTGTTCTGTTCATCATGGGATGTGTAGCAGCATCCCTGGCCTCTGTGCACCACATGCCAGTAGCAGAGCCCTCTACCCTTAATGATGACATGCTCTGGTCTGGAACCCCTGCTCTAGATCACTAGGCCCCAAACATGTCTGCACCAGCATCACTAGCATCACCTAGGAGGTTGCTAGAAATGCAAATGATAAGCCCAACCGGTTGTTGTCTACTGAATTTAGTAAATACAGGGTGAACTGGCAGTCCGTGGGTTTTTTTTTTGACGGCCCCCTAGTGGTGGTTCTAACGTATGCTACATTTTGAGAACAAGTAATCAAAATAATTCAGGCAGGGTTCATTTTATAAGCACGAACGCAGTACTAAATGAGATATAGTCCTTCACTCTGTACACAAGACTTAAAATCTCAAATGGCAAAGTGACTTAATCTAACCCAAATCGTTCAAAGAATCAAGTGAACTGGGAGTCCTGGTGTGGCGCTGTAGGTTAATGCTCCAGACTGCAAAGCCGTTTGAACTGCAAGATCGGCAGTTCAAGCTCACCAGCTGCTCCTCGGAAACCCTATACAGGGTCGCTATGGGTCGGAATCGACTCGACGGCACTTCACAACAACAAGAAGAGATTGTAGGATTAAATTTTTTTCAAGACAATGAAAATCACTGTACGGAGTCCTGGTACGGCGCTGTGGGCTAATGCGCCAGACTGCAAAGCCGTTTGAACTGCAAGGTCACCAGCTGCTCCTTGGAAACCCTATACAGGGTTGCTATGGGTTGGAATCGACTCAACAGCACTTAACAACGACACAACATCTACTTATCTATTTCTACCAATTTCAAGCTCAGTGCACACACAGAATATCTAGAAATATATAATGAGGAAGAAGAATCCTTCAGAATTCTTTTTTCTTTTCATTTGGCTTAAATTAGTATTAATTTTCTCAACTCTTTTCCTTCTTCCCCTTAGATTTTGAGAACACTAAACCGAACATATGCTAACTTGAAACAGAAACCCACTTGGAATGACTTAAACCCTAAAGCTGTGATAACAGATGAACTCTTTGGTTTCATACATCATGCTACCCGGGAATGGAAAGACGGCAAGTGGTGTTTCCTCTTCTGAAGTGTTAAAATTTCCTTTTATTTCTATCCAGAATGCCACTTTTCAGTTCAAGCAAATTTTAGCCATAGTCACAGATTTACTGTCTGTGTATGTTATTGAAATACAGCAGTTCAAAACAGCATTTATAGCCTGTAAATTAAAAATAGATTTGAGAAGTGGTTAAATTGCATTCAGCAGATTTGTACTCAGAACTGTGCATTTTATCCGACGTTAGTTATGCCAGGGTGCCTTATAAACCAGCAGAGAAGTCAACATGAAGGCCCCAGAAGATGTTTATAAGGTACCTTAAAGTTCTGGTATGATGCTGTAGGATCAGCACTGGACTGCAAATCAGATGGTTGGCAGTTCAAATCAAGCAGCCGCTCCTTGGAAACCTAATACAGGATCACTATGAGTCAGAACTTATTTGTTGGCACTAAACAATACTCCTGTGTGGCGCTGTAGGATAAACACTGGACTGCAAGGTCATTGGAACCTCAAAGTCGGTAGTTCAAACTCACCAGATGCTCCTCAGAAACCCTATACAGGATTGCTGTGAGTCAAAACCAACTCAAGGGCTCTTAATAACAATAGTAGAAGGCGGGTTCTAGGGGCCAGGTACAAATGTCCTGGGGTCATGTTTCCTGCCCTATGGTAAACTCTAGCATGACTTCACACTTCAGAAAATGGACTAATCTTGACCTCATCCTTGAAGTCTGGTTCCTTATTACACACTCTTGTTAAGTTCTGTCAAGTCAGTTCCGTGACTCATGTTGTTGTTAAGTATTGTGGAGTCGGTTCCGACTCATAGTGACCCTGCAAGGGGTTTCTGAGGCTGCAAGTCTTTACGGGAGCAGAAAGCCTCATCTTTTTCCCATGGAACAGCCGGTAGTTTCGAACTGCCGACCTTGAGGTTAGCAGCCCAATTTGTAAGACCCTGTATAGTGTTTCCTAGGAGGAGCTGCTTGGTTTGAAGTGTCAACCTTCTGGTTTGCAGTCTAGTGCTGATTCTACAGCACCATACCAGGATTCCTAGATCCACTCAAAAAGCAAATCCTATAGGAATGCACACACATTCCTATTTAGATAGTAACGCTTGTCAACCACGCTAGTCCAAGTTGCCATTATCTCTTGCCTTTTACACAACAGTTATCCCCTCCCTGCATCCCTCCAGTTCATTCCCCACACAGCAGAGGGCTTTCTTCAAAGTATTTTTCTCCACTTTCAGTTTCCAGTGGGTTCTGACCATCCTTAAAATACTTTTTTTCTTCAGCCCAAAAGGCTCTATGTGATTAGTATCCCCACTTTTCCCCCCTTCCCTATCTCTGACCTCATCTCCTGCCCTCTGCCCTTCACTTGGAGAATCTGGGTAGCATAACTGTGTGTTGGCTGTTAACTGAAGGTTGGAGGTTCAAACCCACCCAGAGGCTTTGGAAGAAAGACCCGGCAATGTACTTCCAAAACATCAGCCATTGAAAACTGGCTGGAGTGCAGTTCTGCCTGGACACTTGGAGTCACCCTGTCTCAGAATCCTCAGTGGGAACTGCTTGGTCGATTGGCCCTTCAGTTACCACATATAATCCATTCATACTGACCTCGTACTCCAGGAATGGGCCAAACATCTTCCAATCATGGATCTTCTGTCCATCTGCACCAGCTCTTCCAGTTGTCTGAGCAGTTTACTTCCGGTACTTAAAGCATCTGGTCAAATGTCATAACAGTGAAGCAACCCCCTCTGCTGCTCTTACCTAAAGTAGTACATTCTCCGTTCTCTTGTCTTGTATACACTATTTCCTTAGCTTAAAGGGCAATCTAAATTTACTCTCTTGGCCTAGGTTCTAACTTTTTGTGAAGGACTGTGGTGGGGGGAGTAAGTGGTCCCTATTTATGCTGAAAATCTGTGAAAGCAGTTCAAATCCGTGACTACTAGCAAAGGTTGTTGTTGTTGTTAAGTGCCGTCAGGTCAGTTCCTACCCATAGCGACCCTGAACAGGGTTTCCAAGGCTATAAATCTTTACGGGAGCAGAAAGCCTCATCTTTCTCCCGTGGAGCAGCTGGTAGTTTCGAACTGCTGACCTTGCATTTCACAGCCCGATGCGTAACCACTACACTACCAGAACTCCTTACTGGCTTTTTTTCCTGAATCATGGTGGCAGGTTTCACCAGACACTGCCACTTGCTTTTGCACAAAATACTTCACAGAAAAAAAAAACAAAAACCTGTGTTTGAAACATTCTACTCACTGTAATAGTACACTGAAGGAGCCCTGGTACCATAGTGGGTTTCACCTTGGGCTGCTAACCACAAGGTCAGCAGTTCAAATCTACCAGCAGCTGCTCCATGAGAGAAAGATGAGACTTTCTGCTCCCATAAAGATTTACAGCCTCACAAACCCTATACAGGGTCACTATAAGTTAGAACCAACTCCACGGCACACTACCACCATGACCACCAGCAAATGACATTGAGTTGGAAAAATCAAAAGCTGTTAAACACACCACTGCCAAGAAATGCTTAGATATGGAGCAATCACAAAAAAAGGTCATAAATTTGAAATGTTTTGTGTCTTGTTTAAGTAACAATAACTTGATAAAATGCAAGTCACCCTATCTTTCATGGAGATGTATAATGCATCAGAATACTGTAGTACTTGAATTTTGCTTGTAGACTATAGTTATAGAAAAATAGAGAAAGTACAAATAAATTAACGTTTGGTCTAAAATAGACAGTGAGGAAAAGAGCATGCAAACGAATGAGTTCTTCATCTGGGATAAATTATGAGTTTTATGTTCCTCATTATTGCTGGTGCATGCCATTGTGTCTGTTCCGACTCATAGCAAACTTGTATTGGGTTTCAAACTGTTTAGTTTGAACCACTGACTTTGCTGTTCAAACCAACCTTGCAGTCAGGTGCTTAGCCTACAGCACCATGTACACTACTTTTATTTAACTGACAGAAGAGTTTATAGTAGAAATAAATTAAACATTTACATTAGAAATAGATAACACCTGACTCCGTTATACATTAAGATTGTTTAGTCTTAATAGGAAGGAAGGAGTGGCAATCTGCTTCTGAAAACCAGCCAGTGAAAACTCCATACGTCACAACGGTTGGTAGAGTTACACCCGAGGCCACCATGAGTTCCGGAGCGGCTCGATAGCAGCTAACAACTCTTAATTTACAGGTCTCTTCTCATCCATTCTGAGAGAACAAGCCAATCTTATGCATGATGGACCAAAATGGATAGTCCTGGATGGCGATATTGATCCCATGTGGATTGAATCACTAAATACAGTCATGGATGATAACAAGGTAAATGGCATCTCAGTGCTAAATAGCAAACCAGCTTCTTCTGTGTATTAATCAGCTCTGTTTCCAAGCTGATGTTGATGTCAGTTTTCAATCTTTAACCTACGCACTCACTGTTTTGATAAGTAGCACTTTTCTGATTAAAGTAATGCATTCTTCCTGTCAGTATAAATTTAACCAACTTTAATGAGACATACTTATCTAAGAATTTTATTATACAGGGCTTACCATTTTCTAAAAATCAAATTATTACCTCTTATGTTAGGAGCTCTGGTAGCGTAGTGGTTACGAATCGGGCTGCGAACCTTAAGGTCAGCAGTTCAAACCTACCAGCCGCTCCGCAGGAGAAAGATGAGGCTTTCTAATCCCGTAAAGATTTACACCCTTGGAAACCCTGTACAGGGTTGCTATGGGTCGGAACTGACTCGACGGCACTTAACAACAACAACAAATGTTTGGTTAAGTATGGACAGTAGAAGAAGGAGTTGTGCCGTGTGTCAGGTACAGGAATTTAGCTATTCAATTTAACAAGTTCCTGTAGGTACAGATTGAGGATAAATGCTTTTCTAGCACTTAGCTGTGGTTAATCCAGCATTCCCAGCAAAAGCAAAAAGGTGGTGAAACAAGTCTACTAAAGTAGGTTAGGTCTGTTACTAGAGTCAGGAAAGAGAAATCAGTCATCACCATGACTGCAGAGCATAATTAGTAATCACTTGAAATTAACAGCAATTAGTGTGCTTGAACTAAGTAAGACATTGTTCATCATAAAATAGAGGTCTTAGAGTATTGTTATACTTGGATGAGTTTCTATAGGACACCTGATAATTGTGGTATTTAGGATTGTCAAAAAGAACATATCCAGATCAGTCATGAGGTACAACACTGTCTGTGATAGGATAATATGCATGCGCCTACAGGGAAGCCCAGTTAATGCCACTATTATTCAAATTTACGTACCAACCACTAAAGCCGGTGAGAATGAAATAGAAGAATTCTACCAACTTCTTCAATCTGAAATTGATCAAACAGGCAATCAAGATGTATTGATCATTACTGGTGATTGGAATTCAAAGGTTGGGAACAAAGAGGAAGGAACAGTAGTTGGAAAATATGGCCTTGATGATAGAAATGATGCTGGAGAAAGCATGATAGAATTCTATGAAATCAATGATTTGTTCATTTCAAATACCTTCTTTAGACAGCAAAAGAGATGACTATATACATGGACATCAACAGATGGAATACGTAGAAATCAAATAGACTACATCTGCGGAAAGAGACAATGCAAAAGCTCCATATCATCTGCCAGGGGCAGACTGTGGAACTAAACATCAATTACTCACATGCAAATTCAAACTAAAGCTGAAGAAAATGAAAACAAGTTCACGAGAGCTAAAATATGACCTTGAATATATCCCATCTGAATTTAGAGGTCATCGAAAGAACAGATTCGATACATTAAACATTAAAGACTGAAGACCAGAAGAGTTGTGGGATGATATTAAGAACATCAATACGTGAAGAAAGCAAAAAGTCATTAAGAAGACAAGAAAGAAGGAAAA